ATAGGTTGAGCAGGGAAAGACTCGTGGCATATGGTCTGCACCTGCTTTCCATGGGTTGTCTAGCAGTACGTTCAAGTAGGAAGCCGGTTCGAATCCGGGTCGAGTCATACTGTATGGCGGAAATTTGTTTTTACATGCGCCGAGCATCGAGTCTTAACTGGGTGTGTAACATGGTGTCTCGCGCTCATTTTTGTTGCGGTCAGATGGCCCACGGCATCAAGTCCAGTAAAATTGGCAGGTGTCTGAGGTCAATTTGAGATGTGCGGCATTGGTATTGTGCATTCAAGAAGAAGCGCCTACAAAGGGTCGGCGCAGGCTGCACGGATTCAATGCTGCTACGGAAGAATCTATATGAAGTTTGATTAAACAATCAGCGTCTCGACGGGGGAACAGGTTTAATCATTGATTGATTAATCACCTGTGGGGCACAGTAAGGGACCAGCAGGGCAATGGGTACTTAGGTTCTGTTTAAACTGTGATTATGTTCTGTTTAATCTGAAGACTGTTCATGTTCTGTTTAAACCGTGATTATGTTCTGTTTAATCTGAAGACTGTTCACATTCTGTTTAAACCGAACAAAAACAGTGTTCATACTTTTTAAAGGGAAAAAATGCCAGCTGGGGACTTGAACCAGTGACCTCCACCAAACCAAGAAAATACGAGGCATAACAGCATAACCCCTACACCATGCAACCAATACACAGCAGCCACTGCCCAGGAATACACTAGGCACTAATTAACATTTTGACTTAGAGTTTTTGCAACCAACCTAGAATCCAGACAAGGACTTCTCACTCTCCACCTGACTTCTTTGCTCACTAATGACACTGGTATGTCCAAATAAGTCCTGGGAACGATCATTACTGCATTTTCAAATGTGCTGACTTTCCAGTATTATCTGAGACTGCTTACTGGGCCACCTCACTATTCTGTCTGGTCTCCAAGGAATAAGATAGATAAATATATATGGGCTCTAAAACAAAGGTATTGGACATACCAGTGTCATTAGTGAGCAAAGAAGTCAGGTGGAGAGTGAGAAGTCCTTGTCTGGATTCTAGGTTGGTTGCAAAAACTCTAAGTCAAAATGTTAATTAGTGCCTAGTGTATTCCTGGGCAGTGGCTGCTGTGTATTGGTTGCATGGTGTAGGGGTTATGCTGTTATGCCTCGTATTTTCTTGGTTTGGTGGAGGTCACTGGTTCAAGTCCCCCAGCTGGCATTTTTTCCCTTTAAAAAAGTATGAACACTGTTTTTGTTCGGTTTAAACAGAATGTGAACAGTCTTCAGATTAAACAGAACATAATCACGGTTTAAACAGAACATGAACAGTCTTCAGATTAAACAGAACATAATCACAGTTTAAACAGAACCTAAGTACCCATTGCCCTGCTGGTCCCTTACTGTGCCCCCACAGGTGATTAATCAATCAATGATTAAACCTGTTCCCCCGTCGAGACACTGATTGTTTAATCAAACTTCATATGGTTACTGGCTACGGCGGTTGATCATTGAGTCAAGTTTGTTCGAGACGGACAGAACGGGAACCCACGGGTCACTCGGAGCCGACTAGCCGCTTTCCGCTTTCGAAAACCGAAATCGCCGAAGTCAAACACTCGCAAAGAGAATCTCTTTCTTCCTCGAAGCCTCAAACATGCACTGTGACTCTGTCCACAAGCTCGGATAGTCGTAGCCGCTTCCAACAGATTCCTGACCCCGACCTTGACCCCGACGCTCCCAGCCGCATCGCAACCCGTGTTACCTTACGGCCTCCGGCATCTGGTGCCTACCCTCGGTACATGACCGATTGCTGTTACTGTCTTGAAAGTGGCATACAGCTTGCGGGCTGCCTGTGTGCGTGAACCGGAAACGCCGCGGGTGAGTCTTCGCGCGCAACCTGCCGTCGACACAGGTGACAGCGGAGCCCGACCTGCCCGTCCCTGTCTGCTTCTCCACGCGCCACGCAGTTCACGCATGTTGCCTACAACCAACACATGGCACCAATGGTAACCGAGGCTCCTGCTCTGTAAAGCTCGCATCTTTCGAGCACGCGATGCAGGCGCTGCATGCGGTGTCGAATAGCCCTACGTCGACGCCGTATAGCACCACCGCCCTCTAATACGTGGTGGGAGCATCTGCAACGGCAGTAGGCTGGGATACAGCTGAGAAGGATGCGCGGCGGGCTGGGAATTTGGTCGACAGTGGGCGAGATGGGGAATAATAAATGGTGGGTTACATTTCAGCACATTGAACATTTCTCCCAACCTGCTCCTCCTTCCTCCTTTCTCCTTCGAGGCCTCTACTCCCTTCTACTACTTTGCACACCAAGTCCCGAACCCCTCAATGTGTACGCTCACTACTCACGCATAATATTATTTATCTTTGGATGGCACACAAGCGGAGTCTTGGGCCGTTGCATTACCTTGCGAGTTGCGATTCGACTCAACAGTCCGCATTACAAGCCTATCTGTGCGGATTGAATCTCTCTTCCAATCCAAGTTCCGTGTCAACTCCACAATTCATCACACAAACGGGTATTTCGTCCACTCCAATGCTCTACTTAAGCGGTGGATATCACGCATGGACGCAACTCACTCGATAAGTGCGGAGAGGCGCAGATTGCAGTCCCGGCTACGGTTGAACACTATTATGCTACACTTAGTTTAGCCCTTCGCGAGTCGCGATCGAATCCAAGGGTCAAGGTACTTAGTGCAGCTTCACATTCCTCGAGCCTGCGCCTCTCGCTTCCCATCGACATCTCCGCTCTACCGCTCTAGAGTCGACACAGCATATGTATTTCGAAAGTATAGATTTAGTGCGCCCAAATTTGTCATGACAGATGCGCTGCCCGAATGAAGCAACGTTACAGACCTGTAGATCGACGAGCGTAAAACGAAGAAAGAAAAGAAAGAAAGAGAAAGAAAGAAAAAATGATTGACTAGGCCGACATGCATACTCACCGGATCGACCGACAGGCTACGTCCAATTGTGGATCCTATTAACAGAGAGCAGTGCGGACCCGCCACGAGTCTTATTCTTACTACCGTTGCAACTCATTGTGCTCACTACCTGAATGGCTTGAGTCTGCATCCAAATTTATAGCCTGAAATCTGAGGTGCAACAAAAACAAGGGAGTCACCAAGTTCATGACATCGGACCGCGGCGACTTGCATCCAAATTTTGGACCCTTTTTACAGCGAGCAGGTGCGGTCCTTCCGCCACAAGTCTTGTTCCCACACCCTTGTAACTGAATATGTCCACTACTACTTACATATATGTGTTAGCTGAATATACGGATACAAAAAAAAAAAAAAAAAAAGGAAAACCTGACAATACTAGTAGACCCGGAATTGAACCGGCAGCCTGCATTCAAATCGCTGCAAGCCTTTTTCCTACCACCCTTGTAACCAAATATACTCACTACTTGGAAGAGCTTGGAATATGCACCTCAATTTTATGACCTGAAATCTATTACGGGTGCAAAAAAAAAGGAACCGTCTATTTCACTACATGACTCGAGCCAGAATCGAACCAGCAGCCTGCATCCGAGTTTGGACTCTTACTTACAGCAAGCAGGTGCGGACCACCGCCACGAGTCTGATTCCTACTACCCTTACAACTGACTATGCTCACTACTTGAAAGAGTCTGCATCTAAATGCCGGAAATCTACGGGTGCAAAAAAGAATTGGGTGAGGATATACTATTTCAATGTTGTTGTGGTGGATTTGTGAGGTGAGCTTTCCGTCCATTATATGCTTGTGAATATTTCAGCGCACTCATGCGAGGTTGAATAAAGGGACGGGACATGCCGGTGCATTGATGAAACGTTAAGTCTCATCAAACACCTCCGAGGCCTCATTTTTGAGTACGAAAAATTAGTCAGGACGTCAACTACATCTTAGATGATATTTTCCAATCCAAAGAAAACTCACCTTATCACGTTGAAAAAAATTACCCTTAAGCCCGGTCTGCCATTCGACCTAAACAACGCTAGATCCAACCAGATCAAAACCTGGCAACTTCGAGATAAAGTGGCCTTCTGCATATTGTCTCCGCACTAGCGGACTAGCCCCACAAGCTGCAAAATTTACTGTCAATGGACCATGGTCTGCCGGCGTGATGCGGGTTCTCAGTTCCATGATTCACGAAAAATAGGTTTCCAGCGAACTTCTCTGAGCTCAATTTTTCGTTTTATTTTTTCATCAGAGAGTATTTTCAAGTCATAGTGTCCAATTTCTGAGTGATAGGAAGAGGTTCACCTGCCTTTTCTGGGAGAGGACTATGAGAAATCTGCAGGCAGGGAGGATAGGGGTTTGATTCTGGATTACACTTGATGCCTGTTGGAATATCCTTTCGTTTTTCTGCCCGTAGAACGCGGGCGAAAGTATTCAGAGGCGCAGCAGGAACATAAAGACTCATGCTGATGGTCCACACCTGCACTCTGTGCTATCTTAAGATGCGGAATTCTTTCAAGCAGGAAGCTGGTTCGATTCCGGGTCGGGTCATGGGTCTCAGGGTAAATGACTTTTTCTCCCTTGTCTCAATGCCAGTGAGTTGTGGCTGCGATATTCAGCCGCAGACCCGAAAAGAAATAGACTTGTGGCAGATGGTCTGCAGCTGCTTTCCGTGTTTGGGCCATAAAATGTTCAAACAGCAAGCCGGTTCGATTCCGGGTCGAGTCATATCCAAGAATTCGAGTCTTTTTTCTTTCAACCTGCAGGCTCAAATAATGCTTAGATGCAAAGTGTACCAACATAAACGAGTCATGATATGAAAAGGAATAAAATTTTTCCGCTCGCCGAGCACTTGAAGGTCGCATATTTACGGACACAAGTCCAATGAGAGTGGTGCGTACTTTGAGTTGCAGATTCACTGCCAGTCAATTCCATATAGGCGCAGGGAGTGTGGGAGGCCGAGTCGAAACTTGGTCATTTATTTTTGCATGAGAATGTTTAATTAAAAAGATTCGGCTATGAGAGTCATCGACAACTCAGCGGAAGAACAGACTCGTAGCGATGGTGCGCACCTGCTCTCTGAGGTTGTGAAAAATACAAATGAAATCCACAGCAGGTTCCCGGTTCGATTCCGGGTTGAGTCATGGGATACCCGGGATGCGCTGTTTTTTGTTTCGCCTGCAGGTTGGCCGAGAGCTGAGATATCCGGCTGCGAGAGTAGCAGGTAAAATCATCACGAGGGACGCAGCTGCTCCTTGCAAAGATAGCAATGAAGTATACCTGTTTATTGGTGTCCGAGCAGTGGTCAAGTCATACTTAAGCATTGTGCGAAGGTTAACCATTTTTATCGCTTCCAAGTGGTAATTAAACCTGACATCTTCAGCTGCGGAATGACGGAAGTAAAGAACTCGTGGCGGTGGTCCGTGCCCGCGCTCTGTGTGAGGAAAACGATAATTGTAATCAGGCTACCGGTTCGATTCCGGGTCGAGTCCGATGGCGAGAAATTCTTTTTCTGTCATGCTGTCTGCAAATAACACTATTAGTTGAGATATCAGCTGTGACGCAAATTCAGCATGTAAAAGACTCGTGGCGGATGGTCTGCACCTGCTTTCCTTGGCTGGTGAATTTAATTTTAAGTGGACTACTGGGTCGAGTCATGACATGACAAGAGATGAGTTTTTTGCGTTCGCCCAGCACTGGAAGGCCGCATATTCTGCAGATTTAGCGATCGCAGAATCCATATACGCGCTGGGAGTGTGTCATGTCTTGTCTACACCCTCATGTGTTTCTTTGGCATAGAAATGTTTACTTCTCAGCTATGAGAGTCAGTGACGACTCAGAGAAAGAACAGGCTCGTAGCGACGATGTGGACCTGCTCTCCGTTTTTTATAAGGGAAAGCGTGATACACAGCAGGCTCCCGGTTCGATTCCGAGTCGAGTTGTACCTCGTGTGAATTCTTCTTTTTGCCCTCTGTTGCCTGGAAATAATACTATCAGCTCAGAGCTGCGACGAAAATCAGCAGGTAAAGACTTGTGGCAGATGGTCTGCACCTGCCTAGCCATCAGTGCACTGCTCAAGTTTCGTTTCCGGGCCGAGTCATGAGTTCGGGTCAAGGTTTCTTTGTTTTTATACTCGGCGAGAATTTTGAGCCTGTAACATGGTGTCTTACTCGAAAAGCTTCATAATTTATTGCGGTCACCACACAACTTCAAGTCATTAGTTAGTTTAAGTCTTTGAGATCAATTTAAGAATCCAGATGTCAATTCCGACTCCCGAGTTGGTGCGTCGGACGCACCAACTGCGTCCAGGAAGGAGCACCTGCAAAGACGTCAAAGGGTCGGCGCGGTATCGAGGACTTAATGCTGCTACGGCGGTTTTCCATGGAGTTTGCGAGAGACGGACAGAACCGGAGCACGCGGGTCGCTCGGAGCCGACTACTTTCGGCAAGACTGTCGGCAAATGTAGCGAAGCCGAACTTATCCCCGCAGCAAACATTCGCAAAGCGAAACTCTTCTTCCTCCTGAGGGCGCGCCGCTGTCGATGACGCTATTGCTCTCAATGTCGCTGAAGCCGCGGCAACGATCGCGCTATTCGGCGAACTCGAGAGGATTTGTTTTTTTCCTCACCTTCACCCATTTCAACTCCTAATCCCAAGCTCATCGATCATCCTATAACTCTCACCTTTTCCTTATGCACAATTGTCAACCCAGAGTCCCAGATGGCTCCTCATCCGGCATGACCCACACCGCGCAGGAGGGCGCCGATCGCTGTCTTGAAAGTGGCATTCAATTCAGCTCGCCGGCCGCCCCGCATGCGTGAACCGCAAACACCGCGTGCAACCTGCCGTCGCCCGACCTCCGCGCCATTCGGCGCTCCCGTGGCCGCTCTGCTCCGTCAGGATCCCTGACATCCATACTCCGACACGTAAACCTCAAATACGTGGCGGTGAAGACACCGGCGGCTGCGCGCGTAATACAAAACCACCCGCGGCTTTTTATCTCGATTTCCCTTGGAGCCTCGTCATGAGTGGTGCAAGCACTGAGTGCCGAGTTTTTCTTCGCATACTCTTTTGTGTGTGTGGTCCGAGCGGCTAGGCTGGTGCACGTTGGGCGTTGGGGATCTCGCGACCCTAATTTTTTGTGTGTTGGTCCAGTTTTGATATTTGGGTGCAAGTAATGCGAACACGTTTTATGTGTATGTTCTCTCTCTCTCTCTTATACTAAAGAAGTGTTGACTCGGCCCTCGTTTCACAGGAGGCTGGCTGCGGTCGTGAGTAATGGAAGCGCAGATGCGGTGGCGGGGAGGGTACGCGAGCAGCTATCGACAGCGGGGTTTGCGGGCTGGATGGAGGATGGTGGATATGGGAAGACAGGGAGGGTGGACGGCGGACGGGTACGACGGCTGGTGGGACTGAAACTGTATGTCTTCCCGGCTGTGTTCTCTTCCCACACCCTCCTTCCTTCCTCCTACGCCGATCTCGTTCCGTCTGCGTGTTCTTCTTCCTCTGACACCGACTCCACCGCACCAACTTTCCCTCCCGTAGATCCTACTACCGCATACCTTGACGACGAACCGCAAAGCATACGCTTTGACATATCGGTATCTACGCATTCAAGAGTTCTACTTCCCGTGCGCTGGGTGAAATCACTCCAGGAACATCCGTGAGCTCGTGATGAATTCGATTCCTCAACTCAGCTCTGGACGGGCTGGCCATGGTTCAAATCCTACGCACGTCCCGACTTCCCTTCGACGTCCCCTTCCATACTCCGATTTATAATTTACCGGCACCTACTCGTTTGTGCGAGGGCAGCGGTCGGACACCGCGCCGCTTCTGAAACACTAATTACCAATGTGCCAGTAATCAAGCCTGTGTCAATGCCCGCGCGAACGCAATAAAATAAGTATCGAAATCCAGCTGTCGGCCGAGCGTAATTACTATACGACACCACATACTTACATTGGCGAGCATAAAGAGAGAGATAGCAAGAGAGAGAGAAAGAGAAGGAGGAAAAAATACACAGAGCCTCACACGACTCGACCCGGAATCGAACCAGTAGCCTGCTTACAATTATGCCAATTATGTGATTGATAGCAGGTGCGGAGAGTCTTGTTTAAGCTACTCTTGCAAGTGGATATGCGTGGTCGGTTTCCTTCTGGAGCTCACAGCCACGTATGTTGACTTGAATCTACGAGTGCAAAAAAGAATTGGAAACCAGCGTACGACTCGACTCGGAATTGAACCAGCAGCCTGCATCCAAATTGCGGATCCCATTAACAGAGAGCAGGTGGGGACCATCCCGCCACAAGTCTTGTTTCTATCACCCTTTTCACTACTTGAAAGAGATTAGAGTCTGAAATCTGCGGGTGCAAAAACCCCACTCGTCGAGTTCATGACTTGAGCCGGAATCGAACCGGCAGCCTGCTCACAGCAAATTGAACAATATGATCATATCTGGTTATTGGCAGCAGGTGCAGACCACCGCTACGAGTCTTGGTCCTACTAGCCTTTACTCACGACTTGAAAGGATCTGCATCTAAATGTTATAGACTGGAGTCTACGCATGCAAAAAAAGGAATCGTCAAAGTTCAGACCATGACTCGACCCGGAATCGAACCGGCGACGTCTGGACCTGGTTCACAGAGGGCAGGTGTGGACCATCACCACGATTCTTGTTCAAGCTAATCGTATAACTCAATATGCTAGCCTCCAACACCGATTGAATGCAACCAAGAAGAAAAAAAGACCCTCAGGAAGGGAAAGGATGACTCGACGCGGAATCGAACCGGTAGCCTGCCTACAACGTTGTGATATTCTCTGATCGACAGCAGGTGCAGACCACCGCCACGAGTCAGTTTCCTTCTGGAGCCCACAGCTAGGCATGTTGGCTTGAAATCTGCCAGTGCTAATGATAAAAAAGAATGACCCGCATTTCCTACGCAGTCACTAAGACAGTAAGACTCGTCCCAGATTCGAACCGGGTTCCTGCTCGTTGCTGATCTTCGTTTATTATTACAGACTGCAGGCGATGACCGTCTTGCTCCAATTTAGAATTGTCCTAGCCTTCAACACTGTTTGGAGGAAACATCAGAAAAGTACAAGTTTATTTATTTTATGACCTGGCCCGCACGTGTTTCTGCTTGATAGTTGATGGGAACATCTGTGCTTCCTCCACTGAGTATCTTGCCTTTGTATATTTGGAGGTAACGAGGGGAAAAAATCTGATCGATTTACGACTCGACCAGGATTCGAACTCCATAAATATAGCTACAGACTGTCTACAGGTTCGATTCCGCATCGAGTCATTTGCTTCCAAAATCTAACCTTCGATGCACCCGTAGAACGCCGGAGATGATAATGAGGCAACTACGAGGGTAGCAGGTATAAGCATCGCGATTGCTCTTTGTCTGTGAATAAAAAGTCGCAAGCAGAAGCCTGGTTTGATTCACGTCCGAGTAGTGGTCGATTCATATGTGCCAGGTGAAGGTTGCCAATTTTTATCACCTCCAATTGGTACTTCATCCCGAGATCTTCAGCTGCAGAGTAAGACTCATGGCGATGGTCCGCGCTTGCTCTCGGTACGGGCAACGCAAATATTAGAAGCAGGTTACCGGTTCGATTCCGGGACGGGTCATATATATTGTTTATCCTTTCTTTTTGATTGTACAGGCAGATATTTAGCTGTGAACGCTAGGAAGACAGAAAGAAATAAACTCGGTGGATGGTATGCACCTACTTTCCATGCGTCTTTTGCTCGAGCTGTTGGTTGAACTTGAAGATTTTCAGCCACTGTGAGTATTGCCAAGGAGAAACTCGTGGCGATGATCCGCACCTGCTCACTATAGGGGGCTAAATGTGCAAGCAGGTTACCGGTTCGATTCAGGGTCGAGTCGTGCGTGGCGCAATATGTTGTTTTTCTCATGCTGCCTGCAAGTGATACTATTAGTTGAGATATCAGCTGTGACACAAATTCAGCATGTAAAGACTCGTGGCGATGAATGCGCACCTGCTCCCTGTAACATGAAGGCGAAATTTGCAAGCAGGCGGCCGGTTCGATTCCGCGTCGAGTCATGACATGACAAGAGATAAGTTTTTTCCGCTCGCCCAGCACTGGAAGGTCGCATATTCTGCAAATTTACCGCCAG